TGCTGCTGTCTGTTTGGACCTTTCTGAACATGTGCAGCAAATGGACTTATCTAATATGGTGGACACTGAAGGGGGGGGGCTGAGACACTTAATATTCTAAGCATTCTCATGGCATTTTAGTGAAAGGATTTTTATAAAAAACATGATTAATGTGCACAAATAAGGAATAGTTGTATTAACCATACATGTAAACAGAGTTTTATGGGGCCCCCAGGAACTGCCTATTATTGCCTAATGGTAAATCCCCCCCTGTTCTTTACAGATGTATATCCATGTAGGTTATACCTGCGCTAATCACATTTCATATTTGAATGATATTGGTGATTTCCTTCATTAAAATGTGGTGATATTAAGAAGTAGAAGTTGAGTAGGGCCCACTAAAGGCCGAGGTACCAGATGCACCGCCCGCCACTGGTTCCATGTTTTGTCAGGTTTACCTTTGTCGCTGGTCATCTTCGATGTACGGTGTGACGTCCACGCCGACGGCTCGCACCAACCCACACGGGTGGCTGCGGCTATCCGGAGCAGGTAAATGGTGTCGGGCTGCAGGCCCTCCAAAAGATATTGGGTGCAGTTTTGCGGTAGCTCCACGTTTACGACGGCGTCATCCACAGCCGTGCGATAGGACAGTCTGTAGGCCAACACTCGCCCACGGCTGATCTTAGCAGGAAGAGGCTGCCACGTCACCTGGATGTCTGTTGCACTGTGGCTGGTCAGAGTGAGCTCCGGGGTACGTAGAGGCACTGCAGAAACGATGAACGTCCCTTTATAGCACATCGGCTTCAATCATCACAGAAAATAATTGGAGAACGTTCTTACCGTCTTCTAACGTGTGCTGGCTGACTTGGTCGGACATACGGCTGGCACCCATCGGCATGTAAGCCACAATATAAAAGCTGTAGTTCCGAGCTGGTTCAAGGTCATCGATAATGTAACTGGTCGTGTCGTTGCCAATGACAACCTGATATTCTTCATTGTTCAGACCTGAAATAAATGAAATTGAGCAGCAGGTGAGTGAATAGGTTTAACTTTGAGTTTTTCCACTGAAGATATCTGGAAAAGCTGTCAACAAATGTGCATGATTTGCATTTTTAGAGTCGCTGGTGAAATAATAATAGAGCTGCCTTCCTACATTAATTCTATTCAGTTTATTTCTATAGATCCAATTCCCATCATGTCATCTCAGGTCACTTTTCAGTTCACCAGATCATCCAGTCAGATTGATTCAA